AGAGATGAAGACTTTTCATGTATGGTATTGAGAGATGAGGATTTCTCTCGAGGGGATGAGGATTTTCCATGCATACCGATAGCTCGACGGCGGTCGGGGCGTTACACAAACGGGTCCTCAACACCTAGTACTAAAAAACCAGAACCGAACCAAAAACCCAAAGGACAACCGATATACCTGAAACATAAATTAGTCTAAAGATATTTATATTTAATGTCATGATGTTTGTGGATGGTAGAACCTGCACAGTTAGATTTGTCAAGAGTTTCAAGAGGATTGAGTCTTCCAAGTATGAAATCACAAACACAAAGAATTGAAGATGATTTTTATTGTTGTTTCTGTCAAAACTTAAGAATACAAGAGTTTCGGTGTAAAAAATTACCGATCTCCTTTTTGAGGAAGTTACATTATATTATAGAAGACTAGGTCGGCTAGGTAACCCTAGAGAAAATAGGAAGCTTTCCTTATCCTTTAGAAATTTCCTTTCCAAGAAGTCGGCCACTCCTAGTGGGCTGCGCCGACCTACTCGACCCACCTCATCATGCCTTGGGCTCGGCCCACCTCGTCCATCACGGGTTGCACCTCGTCATGGGCTTCATGCTTCTGCAAACCCACTTCTCCATTACGAATTTGTCTTTGCCGCTAAGTAGTGTTCTTGGCCTTGCCAGGCTCGGCGCTCTCGTCTTGCCATTTCGACAGCACCGTCGTGCAGTCCATCACAGGTCACCTTGTCGCCAAGTCTATCTTGCTGGACTAGTCACCTTATCACGCAGTCTGCCATGCCAGACAAGGCAGCTCGTCACCTAGTCTGTCCTGCCATACATGTCACCTTGTCACGCAGTCTGTCATGCCAGACAAGGCAATTTGTCACCCAGTCTGTCCTGCCAGACATGTCATCTTGTCACACAGTCTGTCACCCTGTCTGCGAGAGTACTTTTGCGAGAGCCCGACTGTTCTACCTCGTCGTCACCCTGTCTTCCGCGTTTTGGGCGCTCACCCTCTTCATGCTCAAGTTGCTCCGTGCTCTCCTCCATCTCAAAATCTTTGACACTTAAGTCTCCTATCAACCTTCCTTCTGCTGCTAGTTTTGCTCCGAGCTTGAGGCCTAGAGTTAGAAAGTTTGCCGTTGAATGTCCATTTACGTGATGGTGTTCGCAGTACGCCGTTTCGTCGTACGGAC